ATGAATACATTAGGAGGGTTTCCCACCTCGATATTCGACCGCTGGTTTTTGCTTTTGAAAATGGATTAAATTACGAGTCTTGTTAATTTTGAGTATTACTTTTCAATATTTGCTAACCGTAATCCAAATTAATTTACAAACCCAGCCAAACCTCATCGTGTTGGTGACATCGATGTTCCCCGCCAGATTTTGCCCGTGGTATTCGTTCTTATACCCTATTGCAATTATCTTGAGTTTGAGTAAAGTATAGTGTAAACGCATTTTAAAAGTGTTAGCAAAATAGATGTACAGCGTGTTTTTAACGCAACCTAAATATTAAAAGTATGTAAAGCACTGTTTAACGACAAAACAAGCTTATATGTTGGTATCCCTATTTTCTTTTCTTCATTGCCGATCAGCTGATATGCATTGTTGCATAGTTCTATTCATGAGGTTTAGTATTATTGGGAATTTATTGTAAATAAGACTCAACGTGGAGTTTTCACAAGATCAAATAGAGTATGTACGGTCTAAATTTCTTTGTTTACCACGGACCCGGTTCCTTTAAGTTTGTACATGTCAACAATAGTTGGTTTATACTGGAATCATGCCTAGAAACTTAGTTTCAAACTTTTTGTTTCACATAAAACCAATAGTTTTCTTTTAACGTACTCCTATAACTCTTCAAGCATGAGTCATATTCACAATAGATTCACAATAACATCAAACCTCATAGATAACTATGCAACAATGTATATCATCTGATTGGTGATGAAGTAAATAAAACAGGAATACCAACATATAAGCTTGTTTTGTCATTAAAATATGTCTAATTAGGGTTTTGGTAAAAAAAAAAAAAAACACCCTATTCTTTTAACAATATAGACTAGACATGCCTTTAGTGTAAGTACCGGAAATATATTGATGCCTTTTGGATGTTACAATCCACCCCATTATATAAAAATACACTAGCACCACAATAAAAATCAAGTGTATTTACAGTAAGTTTTCAAACGGTAATTTTATCCCATATCTACCTTTGATCTATGCTATAGAGGAGCGCTGATGAATTAGTTTGATGGAGAGGAAAAAACCTAGAGAGCAAAAAACTGAGAGGCTTCAAAACTGGTTCCATGGAGAATTTTGGGATCACTGCATAGCTGACAAGTCCCAATCACGCCGTTACAAAATGAAGTTTCCATGGGAAACTAGTTATGGAAATAGTTTGTCTGGTTTGGTTCGAATGTCCTAAATAGTCTAACCACTGATTATTTAAAAAGTTCAATTTAAATGCCAATGTTTGGTTTGGAAAACACCAATAAAATAAAATAAATATTTCGAATATAAATGATAGATTCTTTTATTTTTTCCACAATACACTGTAAGGATAGTGGATTGGCTACACGAAACACGGAAAGCATTGAATGATTGTGAGCCGTTTTAATTTAAACTAGTGTACATGTTGCTCGAATTCGAGCAATTGCAAAGTATTACAGGAATTATTTCAAAACGAATAACAGTCATATATACAATGTGTTTAAAAGAGTCAACTCAAAGATTACCGGTGTGTAACTCAGACCATATTTATCTTCGTTATTGATAAACCTAAAGCATTCTGGCCGGTTTTCTCCTTCTTAAAATGCCTCGCTGTACATGCAACACATGTCATGCATGATAGAGGAATAATTGAGAACGAAAAGTCGTTTTGGGGTAGTGTTAAAGGGCGCATTTGTAACCTAATAGTTGAGTTTGTCCAGGGTCAGGTGCTGACTGTGATGAGTTAAGCCTATTACCATAGATTAAAAGAAGTACTCCTTTTATCTATGTTATTACGCAGCACCCTGTTCTGTAGCTGCGGTCGTTATCACGATTTACGCCTCCTGTCTATGTTTCGTTGTCGCCGCTTCGGAGGCATTAAAAAAACGACAAATAAACAAATTATAGTCACGATCATAGTCTTGGGGGTTATGTTTACACAAACTCAAATAGCCTAGTAAATAAAAGTACTCAATGCGTTTCATTGAATTGAAAAATAAATAACAGCAATTAAATTATACAGCTGATCAAAATTTAAACAATTACGTTCTTCATAAGGATAACATGGGAACTTTCAAAGCCACTGGGGCAGAGCCCAAGGGATTTTTTCAAAAATGTAAGGTCAGTTTGCAAATCTACGCGTCACGCCCTTTCCAATGAGACGTCAATGGATAAAATCGGTTAAGAAATGGCGGAGGAGTTCAACCGACAAAGTTTCATGTAGCGTATTAATTATATAGATGGGTTTCTCAAAATTGCTCTATAATCCGGTCCGGGGCCATATTGTCAGGCATGCCTTTATACTGAATAAACAAATATCCACAACACAAATAATGTGCAGAGTAAAGGTTCTGTAAAAATGTTTATTCAATCATCAAACTTCGTCATCCCTTCATCAAGTAACATGAAATAAATATTTCTATTCGAATATTATATTATAACTATGGCTTTATGTTCTGCGAGTGTCGTTAGCACTATGCGAGTTGTATACACTACTTTACCTGCTACCGGTTGTTAATTATACTAATACTGTAATCACTACTCAAAACTTCTAAGAGAGGTTTTGTTTTCGTTTATAACCTCTCATTGTCACTGACATTGATGCAACGACTCATTGTACCAAACACTAAATTGCACCAGTCGTTTACAATTCAATTGTTAAACAGCTGATTAGTTTAAGTTGAAGCTTTACAATTTTACTTCTTTTCTCTCAATCCTTGAACCTCATTGGTCTGTTACCAGCGATGTTAGGTAAAACGGTAAAACTATGTTGTTATGTAAGTAAACAATATGCTGTTACCGTATGTGAAACTTTTCAATTCTAAGACATGAACTGAAATAGCTACCTACTTAAAAAAACGGTCGTAGGTAAAATATATTTAGAATCAAAATATGCTAATTACATGTTCTCAAGCTCAAATATTAGTTAAGTATCACTGAACTTTCCTCTTTTCTGATACATACAAACAATATGTTCATAAACACTGTATATGGCATGGTAATAAGATATTTGTTAATTTACCAAACTGAAGATATAAGAATGGAAAATAAGTAGTGACATGGGCGAATGTAATGTTGCTACAGTATCTGTAACAAACTTTGTATTATTGGGTCTGGAGCTTTCTAAAGCTACATAATGCTACCTCTAAATCTAGCTTGAAATACCTCCTCAGAATAAACCATCAAACTACTACTAGCAGAGTAAGCTTAGGGAATACCTACTTTTACTACAAACATCACTCTCAAGAGGGGATTGACTAGATTCTTATCATACTGTAGATGTCATAGTTTTCAATGAGATGATTTTGAGATAAACAATCTACTTACTTACCAGTACTTACTTACTTACTTACTCCCAGGACCATTTATATCGGAGGTGATATTTGGCCGCACCAACAAATCTTCGCCAAGTTAACCGGTCTTTCGCATCATCCTCCGTTGCCCCAATTCTCTCCAAATCTTCTTGCACTTGCTTCCACCACCTCTGCTTAGGTCTTCCCCGGGGTCGTCTTCCTGTAGTGTTTCCCTTTAAAACTCTTCCCAGTCTACAATCTTCACCTCTTCTTAATATATGACCATCCCATCTGATTCTTCGGCACTTGATTTCTCCAATTACATCTGTGCTATTATACAGTTGCCTTAATTCCCTATTGTGTCTTATTCTCCATTCTCCTTGCTCAAATATTGGTCCAAAAATCTTCCTTAAAATTTTGTTTTCGAATACAATTAGTTTCTTTTCATCTCTTTTATTTTATTTCCAGGTTTCTGATCCATATAGGAGAACTGGGAAAATTATTGTTTTGTACAGCCTTATTTTTGTTTTGCGGGACAAAGATTTAGATGAAAGTAATTTATTGCAAGCATGAAAAAATTTATTTGCTGAATTTATTCGGCTTTGGATTTCTAGTTCATCAGTATTTTGGTTAGATATAATTACTCCTAGGTATTTACAATTGTTGATTTTTTCAAATGTATGGCCATCAATTTCTATTGGTTCTTCAGTATTATCCAGGTTTCTTGAAAAGTGCATGTACTTAGTTTTTGAATCGTTTGTTTTTAGGCCTAATTTTTCTGTTTCTTTCATAAATACTTCGGTTAAGGCCTTCAGATCTTCTAGTTTTTCTGTGATTATAACCACATCATTTGCAAAGGCTAAGATGTTTATTATGTATTATTTGTATATAAGGTAAACAATCAACTATAGCCTACCTAAAAATACTTCAGTATATTTTCTCAAATATTGATTGTTCAGGAGTTCAGGTACAAATTCAAATGTTTGTACCAAATGCGAGTAACATACCTACATACTCAGGAAAATTAATAATATTTATATTAACTATTGTGCAAGATTTGGAGTAAAACATTGAAACTGTTCAATGGAATAAAATATGCAACCTATGACTAATTATCTTAAAAAAACATGGACTGGTACTGGAATCACAGGATAATGCAAAGACCAATTTAACAACTCCCCTTGGCTTCCTAAAAAGCTTTGAGTAAAAAAGTTCAACAAATGAAGGAAGAATTATTTTAAAAATCATCTGGAAGATGTATTGTTAGGTTAAAACAACCAAATAGATGTAGTTTATAAAGCTTTAAAATTAAATTGTTTGCTATCTAATTATATTTAATCAACATACCGCCAGAGACAAATAGAATGAATAAAGACCGACAGCAGTGCTGGGGTTAGCATATCTTCTGGCAACCACCGCTAGGAGTGCCGTTTAGTTACGGCGCACACCGCTGTAGCGTCTGCTGGTAGCATATGGCTCCTCGTCTGCAGCGGTGTGCGCCGTAACTACACGGCACTCCTGGCGGCACATCGCAGAACCTTCCTCAGACAGTCTATATTTATTATATTTGTCTATGATACCGCTTATCAAATATCTATTCCCATTTGTAATCCCCCCCATTGTAATTTGTAAGTGTCTCTCTATTTAACCCTTCTTTGACCCAGAGAAATTTAAGACTTCCTAATTTTCTAGAACAATCGCAATGGTTCGACGAAAGATCTGCTCAGCGAAAATGGCAGCAGCGTCTACCTGGAAACTTTATCAGACTCAGAGAAGAAACATCAGAGTAACGGCTACAGCAGCGGGGGAGGCGGGGGTGGTGACCCCGCAAGTGTCTACGTCACACCAGACCTGCCCAAAGAGAACATCACCTACACGTGGAGTAACATCAATGTGTTCACCCGGACAGAACAGAGGCAGAACCGGGTGTTGAGTACGATCGAAAACGTCATACAGGGGAACAAACCACGGGGGAGGAAACACATACTGAAGAATGGTAAGTCAAAACTTAAGGAAGGATACAGGAGTAGGAGTAGTATAGGAGGGTTAATTTACACAATATCAGGCAACACAGTAGTAATGGTAAGTCCACACCTCAAAGACTTTTGCAGTTTAAACAGAATATTTAGAAAAGAGAATAAAAGAAATATACAAAATTTAAATAATGTGTTAATTTTAAAATAAGTAAGACTTCTCAGGTGCTTCTCTTGAGTGTTTCTTGAATAGTTTTCTCTTTTGTTATTGAATCAACCTTATTCACTGCTATGTCTACTGTCATTGACTGTAAATAACTACACAACAATAGCTAGTATTAATTTATGTCCCTGTAACAATAGCTAGTATTAATTCATGTCCTTGTGTTGTTCTGTTATCTGAGTTTTGTTTACTAAGTTGTATCAAGCTGGTCTAGTAGCACAGTGCGGGACTTAGGTGATTGAGGTTCAAAATCAAATCACGCCAATCACCAATGGGTTTTAGCTCAGTGATAAGGCCATGACCCTCTAGGCTTAGCCTCAAGCAATGTGAAAAATACATGTTTACTAACTTGCATTTTTGATACTCTCACTTGATCATTCAAGGTACCAAATCTTCTCTACAGAAACCTTTGCTCTGTTATTTTATTAAAGAACTGTACCTTAGTGAGAAGGTTCACCTTGATGTCTTAACTGACAAAAACTTTCTATAACCAATGATGAACTTTACAAAACATATGATTCCAGTAACTGGAGTGGCGTACCCGGGAGAACTCATGGCACTGATGGGCTCGAGTGGCGCAGGCAAGACAACTCTCCTCAACAGTTTGACCTTCCGTGCGCCAGTCGCTCTCAACGTAACAGGGTGTCGCGCCATCAACGGAGTACCAGTAACTGCGAATGCTCTGGGTGCACTGAGTGCATACGTTCAACAAGATGATCTCTTCATTGGAACACTTACTGTGCGAGAACACCTAATTTTCCAGGTGAGAAAAAAATATAATTTTTTGGTAGAGTGGTAAATAAAAGGTAATATTTTTAAAAGGAAAGCCATATGGATGGTAATGAATGATTTTGAAAAGGGGGAAAAACTTTCAAATGTAACCAGCAGCTTTAAAAATAAAATAAAAATAAAATAATGTAATATGTCTAGTTGCATTGAGCCTGAGTGCATTACCAATTCCTTGAAAATACACAAACTTTTCAACCAAGCTAAACTGAAAATACAACTTATTGTATTGTGGTACTAGCAGTAGCATTGAATATTGGATACTGAAGAAACTAACTATAGAATGTTTATGTTGTATCATCAACTACAACAGTTAACAAATTTGGGAGAAAATACATTCCAGATTGTAGCACATTCAGAAAAATAGCTCATTCAATAATGAAATTTTGGTTTTTTTTTAGTGGCTACAGTTGGTCCATGTGTAGACGTTGTGTCTATTTCAGTATACCAAAGATCTGTGTTGGTTGTAACAAGTGTTGGATTCTTTAAACTCATTAGTCATTTCAACTGGAAACCATTATGGGACTAAGTTGTGCAGCCCTTATTCATATTCCGTAGCCTTTAATGCTAATTTCCACTTTATTTTCAGGCTCTAGTCAGAATGGACAGGCATATTCCCTACAGTCAACGAATGATTAGGGTAGAAGAAGTCATAAATGAGGTATGTAAAAACAATATTTTTTCAAGATATTATTTCAAGATATATTTACTCATTATTCTGGTTGAAAGTTACTTGTTCAGTTTCCACACTAATGGAGGAGTGGCATCCATTGCTTTCAATCGCAAATATACCAGTAAAACTTGTCTTCAATTCCTGTTTTACAAGAACGAGAATGTGAGTGTAATAGTTGTTGTATAAATTGTTACTTGTACCTTGTTAGTTAAACTCTTCCTTAGAGATCAATAATTACTTTTAACAAACTATGTAAAATGATTGACATAAAAAAAAACGTTTTTCAAATTCCCTCTACAAAAAGTTTTTAAACACCTTTTCATTTTCAAACCATTGCAATTTGAATAAAACAGTGCTGTATGGATGTATTAACAATCTCAGTAACCATCTAACGAATGCGTTGGGGACAGCCCTTTGGAACCGTTAAGTGATACTATTAACTACTACTATATACTATTAGTGATAATATCAATGAGTTCAGTAGAATTGCCTCAACCTGCTTGTCACTTCTTCTTTGATCGAAGTAGAAATTATGACATGTAGAAGAAAACTAAAACCTTTGAAAAATGACATTAAAGTGCTGACATCTCCGAAAACTATTCTATGCATATTGCCTCAAAAAAGTTCTTATAGTAATACTGTGTTGTTCTTTGTCTCAGCTCATGCTCACCAGATGTCAAAACACAGTCATTGGAGTTCCAGGGAAGATCAAGGGAATCTCCGGAGGGGAAATGAAGAGGTTATCTTTTGCCTCTGAGGTAAAGTATTGTAGCTGCACATTTTGAAAATGGTTTTTTATTTAAAAGAGGTTGGTGGTCTCTTTTACCTTCCATTTGTCATTCACATGGGCCACAGATGCATATGTGTGGAATGAATCCAGTAAAGCAAAGGGTGAGCCAATAAAGGACAAGTGGGTAAAGGGTGAACTGTACTGATAAATAGTAGTGGCTGGTACCAGGGTCTGAACCTCAACATCAATGCTTTTGGGCCCAAAATCCGTGGTGATACGGACAAAATAACCTCCAAAGTGACTTTACTTATTTGGTTCATTTTTAAAATTCGAATAGTTTGGACAAAATTTTTTCTTAGATTAACCTTCTTTGGTTTTCAATAATTGTCCACAATTAAATAAAGTTGTCATGATGTCTTTTGGCACATGTCAGCTATAAAAGCTGGGCGTGAATCCTTGTGGCAGAGTAGATTTCTGCCCTCTATCACCTTATAAATTAATATGCACTTTTATAACAATGAAAACATATATGGTGTTTGTAAGTGTAAACCCTAACCTAGGAATAGAAAATATATTCAAACAAAACCAAAATAAGTCATCAGTAGACAACTGAAATCAGTTTTTCTTCCTACTACTTTCCACTTTAATGGTAAAAACTATTTTTAACTAATCCCAATTAATATTTTTACATAATCTTCCATAGAGTATCCTATTCTTAAAGATATATTTAATTATTGTTAATACTTGTGCTGACCTTGTATCAGAATGTTTTACAGCAACTCTTTCTGTTCAGGTTTTGACCAACCCACCTCTCATGTTCTGTGATGAGCCAACGTCAGGTCTGGACTCTTACATGGCCCAAAATGTAGTAACTGTCCTGAAGTCACTTGCGAACAAGGGCAAAACCATCGTCTGCACCATCCACCAGCCCAGCTCCGAGGTCTTCTCTATGTTTGACAAGATCTTGCTGATGGCAGAAGGAAGAGTTGCATTCCTAGGAACACCTCAAGAGGCTATTGACTTCTTCAAAACGTAAGTCCTCCTGTTGAATTAATTTTTTGTCACCGATTGACAAGTTTCTCTATGGTTAATTGGGTAAGATTAACAGGGAGATATAAATATGTTTTTTTTAATAGCAAAAAATACACGCCATGTATTTTTGTTCACACAGAATACATATAGTACTGTGCTGCACTATAGTGCATAGTTTAAGGTGAGGTTGTTATACATGGTTACATCCAGAAGGGGGCTGTGCCCCCCCCCCTTGGGAGTAATACTTGTAAAAAATCAAATAAAAACATGTAAGTACACACAGTGAGGTTTGAATTTTGAATTTTGCAGCCTCCCATTTTCAACTGGCCTTCCTTTGGGTGTTAAAGAATTTGGGGATTTTTTACTGAGAAAGCAGCTGAATCTGCAACCAAATAACTTTTGAAATACCTGGCACCAAGAAACATCAAAAAGCACTTCAAACTATTTTTAGAATCATACCAAAACCCCGAGCTTGATGAGCTGAGATGAGCTTTCTTAAGATGAGCTCTCACTACCCTTCAGCCGTGTTTACACAAAGTTGGCAGGCAGATTACCTGCCTCAGGTAATTTGAAATACTCTACAGGCAGGTAACATGCCTGCCTACTGACCTGGGTGTAAACACAACTTTCTATCCATCAGTTAAATAAAACATTTTAGGAATACTAAGCTTGAAACAGAGCATTTGCTATATTTTTACCTCAGATCTTTCATTCAAATTTATCATGTACAAGTCAACACACTCATCAACAGGATAAATGATCTGTAGAGGAAGTTGTATAAGGCCATAACTGTTTAGTGAGATTTGTTTCAAAGTAGAATAAGTTCATACTGACAGTTTCATACAACATTAAGTTTTTAAATAATATAATTTAACACCTTTCAGAATGGGAGCTGTTTGTCCGAGCCATTACAACCCTGCTGACTTTTTCATCCAGTTATTAGCCGTCGTACCTAATGCCGAGGAGTCTTGTCGTAACATGATTGAGATGGTTTGTGACTCGTTCTCCACTTCAGATATAGGAGCAAAGATATCCACAATAGCGGAGGTCAAGGGAGGTCCTCAGGTAAGTTAAACAAACAGAAAATGTTGAGCTCTATGCAAAAAAGCTCAGGTTTTAATCAATATCTTTTGATTGTCAGATGTACAAGTAATACAGTTATGCACGTTATTTCAGATTTGTAAACTATTTTATGTTTAGGTTAATTAGCGTTAAATCTTCAACAATATAGACAAACTCATATGACATATTTTAATGCTATGTTGTTTTGACACCTGGTGCTCAATCTTAAAGTAATTGCCCAAAACAAGACTGAGAAAGCTCTTAACACAACTTAAATGTCTAACATTTATTCACCAGAACATTTGCTTCAGCAGTGCAAGTTTTGCACCCATGCGCACCTAATCGTTGAAAGTTATTTGTACTCATATGGCCATATATATGGAGTGATGACACCTCTTATATATTTTTGTTTTGACAATAGATGGTATACAAAGCCAGTTGGAAGGCAGAGTAAGGGTCAATGATTACAAACCTTTTGAAAGTAAATGTCCATTTAAAAAATTCAGCCCGAGATTTTTAAATCTTGGCAAGTTCCCACGGTAACCGCTAGTTAGGAAAGGCGCTGCTATCGGGACCCCACAGCAGTGTGAGTGAGCCAGAGAATTAGCATAGCAAAAGAGGGGGAGAGAGAGGCTAGCGCTTTCTACAATTTAACACTGAATGCTCAGCCAGTGTTTTTTGCCAATTTATCAGCACCTATAAGGACCAAGATTTGTCAATCTTTTACATAAATAAGATTTGTTTACCTTTGGACATTTTTCCTTAACATATTTTTCTGGAAGGTCCTAGTGAACAAATGTATGTTCACTCTTAAGTTGATGTACAATGGTGTGCAGGTCAAGGCAAAGCTGATGAGGGATCAGTGTTGATTGTATATAAAAATTATAACTAAGGTATGACTTAGGAACAGCTTATTCTCAAGTCAGCCAATCTTTTGTCAGCCTCAAGCCATCAACCGTTGAATTACTGGACAAGTCCTCTAACCTTTGGCTACCTCGGTGTGTAAATCAAGTTCTACTTGTACATTATGGCGATTTACATTAGTATTTCTGTCAACATCAAACTCAATGTTACCAACTGTGTGTTTCAGGTAAAGTCCATGTGGACCTGGTCAGATCCCTTCGCCAGCTCAGTGTCCATGTACAAAGCCTCGTGGTACGCTCAGTTCAAGGCAGTGTTCTGGCGCTCCTGGCTCAGTGTCAACAAGGAGCCTGTCCTCATCAAAGTGCGGCTACTGCAGACTCTGGTTGGTTCAGTCTTCTAAAGTGTTCTTTAAACTTTTCTTTGAAATAATGATTGATTTATCCGATCCTCTGAATGATTTTAAAAACGCATATGGAAAAGAGTGGATTATCTTAATGGAGTATCTCACAAAGCCAAACAACTTTGAAACAGGGAGGAGTACTGAGTAAAAGTTAGTCACACAAATACTGAAGGAGTGAAGGACAGGGAAGAAGTGAACAAAAGAGGAAGAAGTTGACAGTTATTACGTGATGAGTTTTTTTGGAAAAAGAAGAAAAAAATCACCGCATGAGAGGGGGCACTGTTTAGTCTGTTCACAAAGGTGATTTAAGGAGAAGGTTTCACCTCTTTTTTTTTGCTTAATGTATATATTATCTGATCAGCTGTTGGATGGTGTTTCAAAGTTAGGACGAGGTGGAGGGGATGGAATCGTTTACCCTCAAACCACCCATATTTTGTGAATGTGGTATACAGTAGTTGGTTTTATTTCAGGATTCAACAAATGTAAAGTGATTGGGAAAATAAACGGGTGAATAACAGTCACGAGAATCATAATTTTAATTGAAACTAAAAGTCTTCAAATATTAGACTAAGAACTTTAAATGCCATCCAAAATATTTATCACTGATTGGAAAATAAATTTAAGTTCAGTACAACTTACAAAAATAATGCATCATAAATCTTATGTAATGACTAATAATCTGGATACCTCTTGGTATGTTACTATACTTCTGTGCTCTAAAACTTTCGGATGACTCAGATGGTGTCCCTGATGATCGGTCTGATCTACTTCGGCCAGGACTATGACCAGGATGGAGTCATGAACATCAACGGCGCACTCTTTATCTGCATTTCCAACATGACATTTCAAAACGTCTTTGCTGTCATCACGGTAAGTTCCTTCAACAGTTTTCTTTTGCTGATATGACCTGATAGATTATGTGAAATGCATTATAAGTCAAATGCCATACTGTCTCTGCTCACACAAGAAGGTCTAGACACTTACATCTTCTTTTGTATTAAATTAGTCTACCAATTAAGAGTAATTCATCACTGTGCTTATTTGAATTCAAACATGAGTTAAGAATGAGTGTAGAATGGAGTGAGATGCCTTAAATACGTTACTGACAAAGATCAGATGTTTCTTTAGCCAAGACCATTTATTAAAACCCATTGATGTCCAAGCCTTGCCCAGTATTCATCATAAAAGCTACAGACTTTTCTCGGGGTTTAGTAACACAACTGTCTATGTTTGCAGGTGTTTTGCTCAGAGATGCCGGTGTTTATGAGAGAACATCATAACGGGATGTATCGGACAGATGTCTACTTCCTTTGCAAGACTCTAGCAGAGGTTCCCATCTTCCTGGCAATCCCTGTCCTGTTTACAGCGATCATGTACTACATGGTGGGTCTGAACCCGGCACCTGCGAAGTTCCTACAGGCAATGATCATTATCACACTCGTGAGCAACGTAGCTACCTCCTTTGGTAAGAAAAAAATTATTTTGTTTAAGTTACAGTATATTTTGTAATAGGGTGCTCTGAGTTTAAGTCAAGTAATAATCATGAATTTCAATCCAGGAGACAAAACTGTGTTTGGAAAATTTATCTTTGTTTTTACTAACACTAAAAGTTGGCTTGTTTTACCTACTTTAAACTTAGTTTTTCTTTCTCTTTTTATTTTACTGAGTAGCAGGAGCAGTGATGGTGTCTTTGGTGGCCAATGGCCAGCTTACTTGATTACTAAATCAAATGTATATTTTAAAAAGATTTTTGGATAGATAGTTTATATTTAAATGGGTATATATTCAACAACAGGGATATGTAGCTTATTTTAGGTAGACATGACTGATAAAAATATGATCAACATATTATACTGAACATTGAAATGTACTTTTTTGTTAATCCATAAAAATTGAAGAGATTTTTTTATCATCCTATACCTAGCTAAAGTTTACAGCTATTGAGTGTGCCACCCGCTTGAACATCTCTGTAATTTACTGTTTTAAGTCAAAGTTAATAGCTGGATTATGGATGCTATGAAATAAAAGTACAAGAAAACTATTTCTGAAACATTGGTCAGTGATTGAAAAATATCTATAGACAACACTAGGAAAAATACAAATTTGTATCACCCAAATATGTTTGTAAAATCCTAAACTAAAGCTTTAAAGCAGAATTTTGCTTTGAAAATGACTTTTGTTTTCTGAAAACTTCTAAGCATAAACCTTCCTTTGTAGTAACGGCACAAAGTTCAGCTCCAAATGTGTGTCAAAGTAAATTACTTTACTGTAGGTGTAGGTCAGCACAACTAGAAAATACAGTCCTTAGAAGGTCAGGTCTTGTTTTTAAGGTGTGTTTATGTATTTTACATAAATAAGTGTTTGTAGTATACTTAGTTTAAAAATAGATAAATATTTGGACTGTTTGTAACTTTATTGGTGTTAATTATTTTACAAGTAAAAGGTTAACATCCAAAGAATTTTAATTCCGTTTATACTTAGTGGTACTCTTTATTATTAATCTATATACATAAAAACTGATTGCATACCAGTGGTTAGATTGAATTCCACAGAGCTGCCAATATCTGTTTCTTATATTACATAACATTTTGACTTACATAAGGAATGCTTCAAACATAATATAGCCTAGTAAGAATAAAGACATTGAACTTTTTTTCAAAATTCAAGGATTCGCTACATTTATTAATTTTCTAATTAGTTCGAGCTATGGTTAACATGTCGTTATAGAGGAAAAAATCATATAAAACAATCTTCTCTTGTGCAAGCACCATTAAAAGTTCTTTGTTTTGTGTTGATAAGTTCTCTATATCACTGTTTTAGTTTGAGCTGCCCTTTGAGTTTCCTTTAAGGCAACTTATTTGCTGTACCATGGGTTGTAAATGAAAATGAAATGAAGTAAAATGTTTAGCAAAACCTCTTTGGCTAGTTTTTGAATTGTTTTTGTGTTGAATTGTTAGTGTTTTGAATTGTAGTAGAGTAGTACAGCATTTGTTGTAACTTTCTCTAACATTTCTTATTACTTCTTATGATATTGAAGAGTTAAACAACCACTCATGATTGTATTTATAATGTGTTATGTTCAGTTTGTCAGATGAAACTGTTATGTTCCAGGCTACTTCATATCGTGTGTGAGTTCTAGCATCTCAGTTGCGTTGTCCATTGGACCTCCAATAGTCATTCCTTTCTTACTCTTTGGTGGTTTCTTCCTCAATGTTAGGTGAGTCAAGCACATGAGTTCACCTCACTTTTAACATTCTGAGAGGTTTATCAATGGAATAGTGTTGATTTAATTTAGTAAGACTTAATTCAGATTTAGTTTTAAGGATTTACATCAAATGCATTGGACTGATAGCGTTGATTTGTCTACTAAAGGGTGTCATAAAATAATGTTTTACATTGAATGGCACAAGTTCAATCCTACAGAAACACAGATAAAACCGTTTAGTTTGAAATAATTGTATATCTGTAAGAGAAACTAGTTTGTTATAATACTTGGAGAGAACTTGTTATACTAGCGGAATGTTTATGAGGAAGTAGCGCTACCATTGGTCCCTGATCCCTTGCTAGTACCTCCTTGCGGTGTTCTGTCTAGTAAGGATCCTACCAAATTTAATCCAAAAGTTTCTCAAGCCCATAACTGTATCCTAGAATCACAGATAGAAAAACGTTTATGTCACAGTTCAGGTGCTCTACCGTCTTAATAATATTTTCTGTATTGCTCTATTTGTGCCGGAAATGTCACTATATTATCATTAATTCCACAATTTCAGAAGTGGATCCAGCTAAGCATATTTTAAGCTAACCCCTACTGAAAGACGAGAGTAAAATAGGTTTTAGATGCTTTTTGAAGTTTTTTAACTGACAAAACTTAAACTACAAGCTGTTTTTATATCATGCATAGATATCAGTGTTTATAAGGACACGACTTATGTGCTGGGTACAGTTTTCAAACCACAAATAATTTTGCAACAGTTTTTCCCCAACATTCACTAGAAACCCAATGTATCTTCTATTATAATCAATTTGATAGTCCCAGGATTGCGTTTTATGACTAATTATGGTAAAAAACTTACCTTGTCAGACAATCCTTGACATGTATTATAGTGTTGAAATTTACTTGGTAAATGTTTCGGTGGTTCTTCAACTCCACCACCGTCAGGTACACAAAAGGATCCACTTCTTGAGGTGTCGTCAGAATTGGTACACACATTTAACACAAACACAAAACGATTTAGTACAATAACAGATAGACCTATCAATTTACGTGTGTACATTGCGACGGGCAGGACTGAATGTAGAATCAAGAAGTGGATCCTTTTGGGTGCCTGGTGATGGTGGAGTTGAAGAACCACCGAAACATGTAGCAAGTAAATTTCGACACTACAATACATGTCAAGGATTGTCTGACAAGGTACGTTTTTGACCATAATTATCTTCTGTACCGACCTAGAAGACATAAGATTATTTTTTATTTTATACTACCTATTGAGAGGTGGACACAACTGGGCGTTCTGTAACAAAAATATGAGTGAACAATGGGTATATAGAAGGATATAACTTGTGAATCTCTGATACTGACTAAGACGACCCATTTCTTTAGCCAGCACTAATTCAAAGTCCATTGATTAAGGTCATCTTGGTCAAGTTTCCAGCCATAAAAAGTTCCTTTCTTTTATCAGAATCGAGCTTGCAAACTTTTGATTGTAAGGTCGCAGTATTATCTCAAGTTAACACTATTTTGTGCAGGTCTGTCCCTCCGTACTTCAAGTGGCTGAGTAACTTGTCATGGTTCAAGTACGGCAACGAAGCCCTTCTGATCAACCAGTGGAGTGACATTGAGTCCATCGCTTGTACCCGGTCAAACACGACCTGCCCAAGGGACGGACTTGTGGTACTGGAGGAGTACAGCTTTAGTGTGGTGAGTGTACAAGGTTACCTTAAGGTTACAACAATAAATATAATTAAGTTAAAACACCTTCTTCTGAAAGCAACAACTGAGATGTTATTTATTTATTATACAGTATTTGAATGGTTTTACAACATAAAATTTAAACTGGTTTGACAAAAGAGGGTTTAGTTTTACTGTTTGATTTAAAAATCAAGGTGCTGACAAAATAATACAACACTGTGGAAGTTTTAAGGACCCATACATATGAGACTGATTACTATTGCAGGGTGGGGTAAAATGGATCAGTTTCACTCACAGTATTCCGTCTGTGTCGGTAAGCTGAAACTTTTGGTCTTGTTTCCATCAGTCACCATTATCTCCGCACTTTGAAAGATTAATTTAAAATACTGTAAAGTGTGTGTTTAGAAATCTGGCCTAGAATGCACATTCTTTACTTCTTTTGAGGAACTGCATCTTCTTCTTTAATCTTAGGTGGTTTTAGTAAATGGACTGGTGTTGATTTTTGTCAATGTGTAGGGTAAATTCTGCTCCTACACCTCATTAAAATTATCGAAAGAGAAAATATTATGTTTGTAAAATTATTTTTGCTACACTACTCTGTTTCAATGGACTTTCAACACATGGATTTAGTCTCGAGCTGGTTGCCGCCTGCTTAATCAAATGGGATTTCATTATTGTACATAGCCCTACTGCTGTTCGGTAGTGATAAAGAAACATTTTACTTTTTGCTTTACACAAGGAGTTATGTAGAATGTAATTAATTAAAACTATTCAATTTTGATATTTTCCACTCTTGATTGCATGTTGTTAAAAATATTCTCACCTAGGTGTAAGCGGTATATAGTTATCGCTTATATCTACTTAATCAATTTAAGAGAGTGTGGTTGTTACTTCATCAACAGCCATGAGAGTGTTTTACTAATATTAAAAATAAATAAATGCCTTATGTTCCAGAGCCACTATTTGATGGATTACGTGTGGCTGATTGTTCTCATCATCGGCTTCAGACTTACAGCTTTCTTGGCTCTTCTCTACAGAAGCTCTCGGAGAAGATAAGGAAAACCTTGCTGTTAGAAGTATTCCAATTTGTATGTTGTTGAGAGAAATCTTAGAGCGAGAACAGGAGTCATAAGTAAGGAGGTGTATAGAACAACAAAGACAATTTCCAGTGAAATTTAGAAAGTTATCAAACATTAACCATCATGTCTTGCTCTTGAGCCATAGTTATCTCTGCAATTGTGTTTACTCTTGTGTGTTTGTGATTGAGGCTTCTAAAAATTATCAGCCACACTAAAAAAACCAAATTGTTTACATCCAGCGTGGATATGGTACATAATGTATGTGTGTGTTTAGTAAATCAAATTTTCTGTGGTCTAACAATGGTTTATTACAAAATGTGCCTTTTATCTATCAGCCACAAAACTAAAAATAAAATAAAGTGTGTTTTTGCCTGTATGATATTTACCGAAACTCAATTTGTGATATATCTGTCCCTGTTCCTAGAACAGGAAAATACAAGGACATTACTAACTCGATACTATTTATACTATAGTATATATTTTTATATCATTAGGCATATTAGAACATTTGGACTTTTCATCAACAAAATTCAGTTAAAAAGTTATCGAGCCATTGTGTAAAAACCTGTATACACAATTCCTTTGTTCATGATACTAGTATTATAGATGTAGGTTAAAGAAAAACGTTGAGCTTTCTTATATAAAATAGTTTTATGTAAATAAATTAGGATTTTTTAATTGTAGCTATCTTATTTTGAATACTCTGTCTTCATTTATACTATCTTAGTTGTAGAAATTTGTAGGTAGTTTATTAAAATATCAAAATTATAAATAATAAAAGAACATTTGTGTTTTATATTTTATTTACTTATATTGAGTGTTTAAGATATGCATATATTTATTTTGTATGTTAACAATAAACATGTCACATTTTTATTACTTGTTTTATTATTTGTTCCTATGTTAGAAATATAAGTACGTATAACAAATATAACAACGTTATAATAACCCTGATTTTTATAAAATAAAATTATTACCTCATAATGTTAGAATTACTCCTTTTTAAATAACATTATATTTAACAAGTACTCAGGTTTACTAAGATATTTCAAATTTTTTTCAGATATGTTAATAGCTTAGTACAAAATAAATAAATTTGGCAAATTTTATAAAAATAATATAGAAACTACAACAGTTTACTTATTCTCCTTCAGAATAACAGATTTAAAAATTTTTCTTTTTTAGAATTTTCTCTACAATTAGGCCTACTTCGGTTTGCTGCTACGGGGAAGGAAAAAAGTATTTTTGATTAAATGTAACAAATAGTATAGGATAAAATAAATAATTTTGTCAAATTTGACCAAAAATATATCCATAAACAAGCAAACTACAACAGTGCCTTTTTTCCATAATAATAACATAAGAATTTTAAATGTACCCTTTTTTACTTTTTCCTTAATTTGTAATTTGACAACAACAAGATTCAAATTAAAAAATTGTTTGTTTACAAGATGGTTGTAATAAAAATTGGGCATTTTCAGGTTTTAAGGGTAAAGATTATTTTTTAATGTTTGAAAAACTTTTAAACACCATGATTTAATCTTCTGGTTCGCATACCGTACCTCATTCAAGTTGATTTAAAACGAATTTATTTAACCGGACCAAAATATCTCGAGTTATTGTGTTCATGGACACACATTTATATTCATACAGAGTATCCCTTAAGTAGTTACAAAAAAATTGGGATAGGTATAATGGATCAAACGAAAATCAAGAATTTCCTATTTTTTTTGTTATTCCTCGTTTGGAGCTATGCCACATTTCATTTTTGTGTTTTAAATTTATATCTTAAGAGCTGTTTAGGTATCTTTATGCAATTTGGTATACCATTCTATAAATTAAAAATACTTCAGAAAAGATAATCATACAAAAGTTTTATTTTATTCCAAGGAGTTCTTATGTAAGAGTGTTTTTAGAGTCGTAAGTATATAAAGTATCAGTCAGCTGGAGGTGTAATTTATTTTAACAGCTGGATCAGAGAAGCCGCAAGAGGCAAGTGGGATTCGATGTAACTGGTAAAGGGTGGTTACCTCCCCTGTAAGTGGTTATTTACAGTTTAGTGACCTTTGGCAATACATCTATTGTTGACGGTTAATTATTAACGAGGGAACCCATGATGTTAATGAATCCAGTGCAATGTATTTACCGTTTCAAGATCATGTTTGTTTGGAACAGTTTTTAGGTGAATAGAACGAATTTACAGTATTATCGATTTTAGATCTACACCATAAACAGTGATTTACCTACCCCAATCACGTAATTGTTGTCAAAAATTAACCTATTTAAAATACATTTTCGTATACTGTTTAGTTTTTAAGCTTATCAGCATAATCTTTGAAAATGGACTCTAAAAACAAACTAAATTTGAGGGGGCGAAGCCCTACAGGAAATTACCTTTTGTAATTACCATTCACAGGAGCGCTATATCATAAATTGTTCAAACGACACCTCAATCGTAAAAATCGGTTAAGTAAACCAGCTGGAAAAGGAATGTAAAAGAGAAAACCCTTAATGTACTAAGCAGTACCTGGGGACCGAGCCATGGCTCGGTATAATTTATTTCCATTGTAAAAGCAATATAAAGGAAACTCACGTTTTATATACATCTCATTTTCGCTTTTATAATTAAGTTTCAGTGGAATTTCAATTTATTATGATGGAAATTTTAACCTGCCAATCACAACATATTAATTTATTTTAGAGTCGATGGTTAAAAATCACTCGTCTATATACTCTCCTACACTTGCTTAAACAGAGCAAGTGGTGGTGGTGGTCAATTGTTTTGACAGTTTGTTTAGATTAAAACAACAGATTGAAAATGTTTGTTTAAATTCTAATTAACAGAAAATAAATATAATGTTATTAAATATTATTTCACTGTTAAACCAAAATTTGCTAAAATTGCCTCAGTACTTCGGGGATTAAGATTTGGTAGGAGAGAGCCAAGCAAAATAATTAGATCGGGTAATATTCAGTGTAATCTTTGCTCAATAGTGACAACTGATATTTTCCCCTTTGTACTGTATTTTTATTTTGCTAGTATACTGTGGATAGCTAGTTATAAACACATGTTGCATGTCTTTTGTTTACTTTTTCATAGTTGTATTGTTCAACCAACATAATCACTTGGCAACCCATAAGGCCAATGACAAATTTGACCTTCAATTTCATTTTTTACTTAACTAGATATTTGTTTTTATAGGAATAGGATAGGTTGATAGATTTTACTATGAGCAAGCATACTCAATGAGCAAGCATACTCAATGAGCATCTGAATCAACAAAAAAATTTTAAATTAATCTAGAGGTTAAAATACCTTTAATCCGTCAAAGTGATCAAACGTCACCGATGAGCGGCGACCGGTTTCAGCCCAGCTGTGGGGCCATCTTCAGGCGATGAAGGAACATAAATATCACTCCGAAGAGGTCGTTATACAGTCCATAAATACGTCACGAGAAACAACACATAGATACATTATTTACAAACACACGTGTGGCCACAAATTAACTGCGCGGCGGACGGTACGCGTACATTAAGTTGCTAGTCCAGACTGTTTGTAAATAATGTATCTATGTGTTGTTTCTCGTGACGTATTTATGGACTGTATGACGACCTCTTCGGAGTGATATTTATGTTCCTTCATCGCCTGAAGATGGCCCCACAGCTGGGCTGAAACCGGTCGCCGCTCATCGGTGACGTTTGATCACTTTGACGGATTAAAGGTATTTTAACCTCTAGATTAATTTAAATTTGTGATCAGGAGGCAAAAAACAACAGAAATTAAAAAAAAAATTGTTTTTGTTGTATATTTTCTTCTGAAGGATCGAGCGAGAATTCGACAATTTTAGCGAATTTCCCATAGGGACAAACCTGCTACTGTAGGCCTCATGGTAAGACCTAAACCACTAGTTTTTCGTTTTGATGTCACCAGAGACCAAAAACACCGTTCGTTAAAATCCAAATATACTATCAGAGTATTCGTACTTCGTAAGGGGTTGACTATATTTTCTAACGAACTTATTGCTGTTATACCCTTGAATTGCGTTACAACGAAGAGATAACGTGTAAGTAAAAAATTGTTTATTTAAATTTGTATTAAATAATGCAATAGTTATACATTTACAAACATTTTTTTTTTTTTCAGAAACAAAGTTCATTTGGTTAGCTAAATAAAATTTGTTTGTCTTTCAACTGTGTTGGTCAAACTTATTAAGCTACCAAGTCAAATGTAATAGGCTGTGCTGATGCACTCATGAAAATGCTGTGATTATATGATTTAATTTTTAGGTGTACCGTACTTACATGAAAAAAATCCGTTTATAGATCTGTAAATCATCAACTTAGTTAGGATTTTATTTTATAATTTTTAAGTTCCGTCATGCTTATAAGTCAATATTTGTGACTCAGACGTTCTCTCCAGGTCTTAGATTCTTCCGAGGGTTAAGTAGGAAGTAACCCTCTCATCTCCGTCATCATCCCTCTATTGTAGCAACACATTTCTTGAAATTGTTTGGATCCATCTTGATTCTTGTTTTACTGAAGGGCAAAATATAACATGGTTAAATTTCTAAAGTCATCTAAAAGGTTAATTCCGAAGACGGATTACTTAACTTAAATCTTCTAGATTTTTATTTCTTTAGTTTTAGTCTTAGGTGCAAAGATATATTGGACGTTTAAAACTAGGTTGGTACAGGTTATGGTTTGTACAGTAGCGAACACTTACAGTACATAGTTTTATGAGATAGATATGGTGACCATATCCATAAATCGTAATAGAGTATGTGTATAAGGACAAATACTACCAAAAAACTTATGTCTAAAAATATATAAATGAATCTGTAAATCACTATTGAAGCATAGCAATTCTTTTGTCAGAGCGCTAAAAGCACGATCTTATAACAGAAATTGTATGAATCATAAATATAAACAAATTATGTCACTATCCCGAAAGTTATCATTATTTATCATTACTTAAACTGAACTCTCAAAGCAATGTTAGTGTTATTAGTATAGAATTTTGTCTACTTACGTCATTTGTTTATGTTTATGATCCATACAGTTTCTGGTCTAATATCCGTGGCAAAAAAGAGGGATTTTATACTATTCATTCAAGCTTATTCTTCTTACGTCTTTGAAGAAATGGAACAACAGTACTATAAGCTGCCAGTGCAGTACTTTGCTGCAGTTTATATCTTGTATGAATGTTTTGTAATAAAAGTGTTTTGCCAGTCTGAATGTTGTAAAGGGAGTAAAACTCATGTCTGAACAGAAAACATCTTTACAGAGCAGCTTGAATCTAGAGTTGATAATGTGATTATTGCTGTGCTGTTAGACATAATAGGTTTTCCAATAGTACAAAAATTGCATAAAACCAAAGGGGAAAGGTAGACTTTCTATCTTTGTATAGAATTCATATAGTATAAACCTTGCTCTACAGGCAACACTTTTTGCAACCTCCAAAGGCTTTTCTCATTCATACCTTTTATGCACAAAATCTGCAATTAAAATACTTCTTTTGTAACAATGGGCGAAATGTACGACTTAAGAAAAACAAAGGCAATTAGCCTTTAAAGAATTTCTAGGTTTGAGTTTTCCAGCAATATCTATACTGTAGTAAGAGAGTTGTATCTCAAGACATCAACATTGTTTGCAAAAATAGTTTAACTGTTACAAATTTTGAAATATATTTAAAAATCTAAAACATCTTTGAAAATATTTAAAACTTATAAAAACTAGTTATTGTCACGGAATGAATAGCAAGCCACTATTTGTGTCTCACCCTCTATTCCATCCTTTTGTTTTTTACAAAATTGGTGCGTGGAACCATTGAATATATTAGAACTCAACAATATAATAGAACAATAGAAACTTAATCTTGCCACCTTATTTATTGTACTTCTTATTGTAATATAAAATGTAAGATAAAATGTTCCCTCTTTTTTAGCATACCGTATTTAATTGCCTTGAGGCTTGTATAGCACGTATCACCTACATGTAGGGAGACGTGTCACGTGGTTAGAACACCACACTTCCCCCCTAGGCACCCAGGTTCAAATCCTGCAAACCACCAATGGCTTTTAACTATGTGAAAATTGCCTTCAGTCCTATTTAATTTGTGGGACCTATCCATAAAACAGAAAGAAAATTCTCTGTGGACATCTCTTACTACAAAACCGTACGATAGTTAATTAGATACATCTACTGACCTGGAGTTTGTGTGTGTACGTGTGTGTTTATGTGTGTGTGGGGAAGGATGGGGGGAGTAACGCAGGCGCTATGGGCAACCTGTTGCCTATATCCCACTGTAGAGGGTAGAATCACAACCCTTTTACTGTAGATGCCGTCTGCCATTCGTACATGCAGGGGTAACACGTCCCGCCACGTAAGTTTGATCATAACTAAAAACTTTTTATAGTATTTAAACAAAAAAAATATTGCGAATACAGCTACCAATCCAGTTTCTCAAAACGGGTTGTCGGTAATATTTTGATATTTTATATACTTCGTCTAGAATCAAACAAAGTGTAAAATATTTTACAAAGTTAGTTTTATTTTTTTAAATTAAATAGTTATTGTAAGTCATGCGCCATCAAAAGTCTTTGGATTTGAGTACAACTTTTGGGAAATACATTATAATCTACAAACGTTTATAGAATAAATTGATACAATTCAAGTAGAAATTAAAACTATTTGTTGAGATGAAAAGGTTGTAATCAATTCATTACACAGTTGCGCAGCACAATAGAATTGGCTTTATTAAAAATTGATGGATATAATTTAATAAGCTATAGGAATAATTAAACTGTCTTAACAAAAAATATTACACCAGAATTACAAGTATAGCAAACATCCAACGTGAGTTCGTATACATGTTGAAATGAAATGAAATTATTAAACATACAAATGAATATAACTAATACTGTAGCAGGAGCAGGAATAGTATGAACAAACGTATAATAACAGACTTCTATATACAACTTTTATATAAAGTTTCTCTTTTTAGAAAGTAAAATTTTTGTTTTTAGGAATGCGTTTAAAGTATAATTGTCTAGTAGGGTGTCTAACGAAGTTTTAAATATCTTAAAACTGAGTACTTATGAAGGTAATGTTCTACACAATATTAATTTATAAGGGGATAGCTTTCTTGTATAAAAATTAGCTAAATTTGATTAAATACCTATATATAAACAAGCACCCTAATGTAGTTTTATTATTCTCGATAAGAATAACATAGAAAATATAAATTTACAATTGTTAAAATAAAAAACAAATAATTTAGTATATCAAAGTGTTTTTGTACGCTTATTAGTAAAGGAAAAATTAAAAAAAATAGTAAATTTTAAATTTTATGTTATTCTTATGGAGAATATTGTAAAATGTTGTAGGCTAGTTTGCTTGTTTATTGATATATTTGGATCAAACTTGGCAAATTTATTTATTTTATACTAATCTATTATAATTTTACTAAAAAACATAATTTATTAGTTTCTTTGTAGCAGCAAACCTAGGTACTCGTTAAACGGAAATTCGCTTAGTCGGCAGGTTTGCTGCGGCGGGGTATGAATATCTACAAAATACTTTGTAAAAAAAATCGCAAATTCTTTTTAGGAACAACAATGAGGGAACCCATTTTTTACCACATAAACTGGTATAATCAAATTAATTAAATTTTTAATTAATTAAAAAAAATCCCCAGTTTCCATAGTCTGATCATCCTGGTTCCCGAATTCGTTGCAGTGAATTGGTTTACACATTTGTATCAAACTTTATTAGAAGTGGATGATTTTTACTTATCGCACTAACGTCCACTTGAACGTATGGTTCTTTTGGCTTCTGTGGACATCAAAACGAAAAAGTAGTACCAGGTCTTACCATGAGAACTACGGTTATGGCTTATATAATATATTTACTAAAACATCAATGTAATTCTTAGTTGTCACTTTTAACCCTTTATCATCTATACAATATCCAACTCTTTATATTTATATGCAATTTAAAAAATATGTATAATAAATTGTATAGTTAAATGTTGTAAACGTGTGTAAAACTGCATTGTTTTTTTCTTACACGATAATATACAAAGTATGCATTAAAATAATTGTGTATGAGATTCAAATGTTTATATAAGCAGAAAATGCCATTGGCTAAAAGGAATAAGCTCAATTTATTTCCTTTTAATTTGTGAAATAAAATACTTTTCAGTTAAAATATCCATAGTTAGAGCTACATATTAAATTAACAAAATGTTCTGTTTCATATTCATTCAGGAACTGATTGATTAAATTACATTGAATTACATGTAATGGATCGAGCTTTTATAATCAATCAACGGAATGGAAACGCCTTGATTTACGTGTGGGGTGATATGATTTGAACCATTAGTTCGTTTCTACGATTGTGTAGGATATTTATTTTCATAATTTTATTAGCAAAATCACATTAATAATCTTATTTTTCTGTGTCTATACATCTTTTTTATATGCGAAATATAGGTGTATTTAAACTATAGATTACATGAAAAATGATTAAAATGGATAATCGGCAATATTGTATGGATTTTAGCAAAATTAATTGCTCGGAAACTTTCATTGGTTGTATATAACTTTTCTTTCGATAGCCAAGTAACTTTTACGTTTATATTATTGAGTACTAGAATTTAGCCCTTTTAAACATATTGTAGTTTTAAACTGTTAATAAGATGAATAAAAGGATTTTTTTATAATTACGACCAAATTTATATATGAGCTATCACACACTCATTAACAGTATTTTACAGTTGTTTTATAAAACGCTCTGTTGGCCCCGTTTATTTTTTAAGCACCAACCATGTACATCGCAATGGTTAAAATGCACATGTTTAATACTCTAATGATTATATTTGAAAAATGTTTTTTTTTAACATCTACACTAAACTATTATTCACAAAATTCCGCAACATGATTCTTAAAAGTTAACAACAGATTCCGCCGTTTTCCAAATACTAGTTTTTCAATCGTTAATAATATAAAATTGTTAGAAATGTTGTTATTCATTAAGTCAAAATATGCTTAACTACATTACCGAAAGGTTTTCATATGGATAGAACACATGTTTTAAATTCTAATATTGTATTGTTCACCTATAGTAAGAAAACGTATTTTTCCAATAATTGTTTAAACATGACTACACCTTTTCAAATTTCATAGCAGAAAGGGTAAATTAATTGTATTTCAGAATAGTCTTTTGTATTTCAGAAATGGCAATTAGTATTTTAGAAGTAAGATTTTTATTTTAGAAAACGTCAATTGTATTTTATAAATTATAGTTTATATTCCATAAATAATTATTTGCATTTCACAAGATATCAATTTTGTGTTTCAGGTATTTTAAACTGCATTTCAGAAGATATCAATTTTGTATTTCAGGTAGTTTAAACTAAATTTCAGAAGATATCAATTTTGTGTTTCAGATAGTTTAAACTGCATTTCAGAAGATATCAATTTTATGTTTTAAATAGTTTAAACTGAATTTCAGAAGATATCAATTATGTGTTTCAGATAGTTTAAACTGAATTTCAGAAGATATCCATTAATTGTAGTTTTTCAGGAATAATTTGTGCAAACAACTTTGTTATATCAGCATTAAAACAGCTGTTTATATTTATTTCTGAAATACATATGACTATTACCATTCTATTACTGAAATTCAATTTATTCTTCTGAAATTCCACTGATGATTTCTGAAATAAAAGTCACTAGTCTGGAATGCAAACGATAATTTTTGAAATAAAAATGATGATTCTGAAATACAGTTGACGCTCTCTGAAACAATCTTGAACTTTCTGAAATAAATTTAGAGAAGGTTTAGAAACATCAATATTTAAAAGTATTCATTCAGTGAGATTGATCAGTAATAAACAACATGTATTTGACAAATTTGTTTATTCTATAGTAAGCTTTTAAAATAAGAAAAAAAATATTATCTTCTTTGTAGTAGCAAGCTAAGTTATCATGAACAATTTATATTATTTTATAGAAAATAAATCTGCCAAATCTAAGAGCATATTTTAGTAGAAATCCAACCAGGTAAATGTATATTTATTTGGCAGGTTTGCTGCGGCGGGGTTTATTTAGGCATTGTTTCTCAAACGTTCACTATATCCCCTGTTTAAGTACACTCAGTGAAACCAATCTTTGTCGCCAAAACACCGATCTAATAAGGGCTCCAAGAAATAGCCTTGTTGTTTTATGAAGCTCTATAAATTACACAGAATGTCTGTAATTTAATCCCATCCTTGTGAATTACGGACACGAGTTTATCCGCTTTTTGTAGTTTGTTGCATAAATTCTGTATTTTAAAATATCCATAAGAAACCATTTTACAAACTTAATAGGTTTTTTTTAACATGCAGTGATTATAAGATCTGTTGATAAAAAGTACGGACACTGATAAAAATATAAAAATAACATTTATTATTATCGTTCACAAAGGGGTGATTGACACACTTCATATTATTTTACGTAATTACTTTTGTAAATAATCAAACGAAATAGAATATAAGTTGAACTTTCTTTATTCATGATCATGATTATCTAAATTGCTTACTTGATATTTTTCTTATAGAACATGGTACATATAAAATCATTTATGCCAATCTAACCCTATCTATAATTAGAAACATTATCTTATTGCTTTTCTAATTGTTAAAAAATATTTATAGTTATTAGTGTTAATTGCGTTAAACCTGACACATACACTTGGCCCAGTTTAAAGTTTTCTAACTTTGTGTACGTCTTACAATAAAATTATACATTCTACCAAACATAGAATAGTGGTTACCAAAAGACTATTGTTATCACAAACTATTGCTATTTGGAATAATCAAGAAAATTTTGCAAGGAATACATTAAGCAAACCGCATTCATGGTGCAGTTTAAAACATAGTTTACGTACCGTAGTGACTTAATTGCATTAAATAATCCTGTAAGTTTCTTTATACAATTTAATGGTTTTAAATTTAAATTATTTGTATACACCGCACTAAGTTTTAGCCGTTTTACTAACGTCTATTGGAGGCCGAAAGCTACGAATTGCTGTCTATGCCAGGTGTCATCGTCATTTGGGGACCGAGCAGGTTTTTACATCCCTAGGGCCTAAAATCAGCTGTCCGCTTACTTTCCATTAATGCATATTAAATACACAAAATATCCATAGCATTGCAATACAATTTTTTTATTGTCACCGCTGCCTAGCAACTATTTTTATTATTTTTGCTGATTCCTCAAATTATTTCTTCACATAACCTTAAAGTTACAGTTGTGTTGACTATTAGTGTGCATTATTATTGTGGTGAATAGTGGCAATAGGGTATAGTGTGGTGACAAATAGTGTTCTTACCACGGA